ACCTCTAATTTAGAACTTTATCAAGTAAAGGTAAAAAAGTGCCTAACGTACAGTCTAATACTTTCTGGGCGCTCAATACATGCATTCACTTCCCAAATCAAACTTAAGTTCCAAAAGAAGAGAGACAGTACTACTATAAAAAATTCTAGTCAGAGTTCATTACACTGTAAGGTCATGGGTTTACAAATGAAATATAGCCAGAGAGATTAAATGGCAAACTGGACTGACTGTTAATTAGGTCAATTATCTAAGAGATAACAGAATTACTTTTTGGCTGACATAATTTAATCACTGAAGCAGCCAAAGCAGCTCTACTGCAAGATAAGTGGTCACAGAGCTCTAGCGAGTCAAGTCTCCAGAGCCACAAAACATTCTCTTGTTAATGTCTGAAGTCTTCCATGTTGGCTCAGGAGAAAAAAAACAAACCCCAGGAAATTCTGAAAAGCGTTCACTAGCAACACACTAAAAAGAGCTCCACAAATCTCACACCTTGTTTTCAAAATCACATATGAGCATATACTAGAAGAGACAGTAAATTATACCATATCAGTAAAATATCTAAATTAACAAAACTCATGGGAAGATTCCCATAACAATAGGAAACAGCAGAGATAAAGGTATAAAGTGAGGCATCAAATGAACCCCAGCAATAATCTTGTAGTTTTCCTGTAGAGCAGCTGCTGTGACATCCAGGGGCAAGGTGGGGGCAAGATGGTCAGTGTCAGCTGGGGAAGACTGAGTCTTCACAAGCACATGCAGAGGCCCTGGAGGGCAGGCGTTTTGCATGCAGATCAGTCACTATTTACTCAAAATGGAGAGGAGTACCAAGCTCTTAAAAACTAAAATAGCATACGTGGAATAATAGCATTTTCCAATATGCATTACATAAACTACACAAGTTTTCATAGTACCCTCAACACAGATAATAGGTAAAGCAAATTATTAACCATTCTTAACCTACAGACAGGAACCATGATTCCCTAAAGGCACAGAAGTAGGTGCAGAACTAGAGACATCATCTATGCAGGTGTGTAACTCAGACATCTAGGAGTCACTCTAGGTGCAGAATCAGAGACCATCATCTGGGCAAGTGTGTAACTTAGACATCTAGGAGTCACCTTTATTCACTCTCTCACACTCCTCCATGTTAATTCAGCCTTCAGGTCCTATTGCTATTATTTTCTAAACATATCTCACTGAAGTCAACTTATATCTCCTAAACATACATCAGTCTCGGACATCAAGGTCTCTTCAATCCCTTCACTCCAGGCCACGGTTCACATGCTGCTGAAGTCATCTCTCCACATCCTAAATTGGCTCCCGTTGTATCTTTGCCTAAAGTCCTCAAGTGGTACCCTAATCATCGTCAGGATAAAGTCCAAATTCTAAGCATGATGCACAAGCTACCTTATAATCCAGTCCCTCCTATCTAACTTTCTGCCCTTCCCCAAATGTGTTATGTTCCCTCATCCCAAATATAGACGCCCAGGCAATGTTCTAGGTGCTTAGCCATCATGAATGAACACGACATAGATAGATCCCTATATTCTTTTTTTTTTTTTTTTTTTGAGTTGGAGTCTCACTCCGTCGCCCAGACTGGAGTGCAGTGGCCGCTCCTGGCCACCGCAGCCTCGACCTGCGGGGCTCCGGCAATCCTTCCGCCTCAGCCTTCCGAGTCGCCGGAATTACAGGCACGTGCTACCACACCCGGCTGATTTTTGATTTATTGTAGAGATGAGGTCTCGCTGCCCAGGCGGGTCTCGAACCCGCGGGCTCAGGCCATCCACTCACGTCAGCTTCCCAAAGGCGCGGGATGACAGGCCAAGCCACAAGCCCGCTTGATCCCTATATTCTTCTGGGAGTAGATGAGACCTAGGTAGGATGACGGATAAGAGAGGGCCGGATGATACACACGGAGCTGGATGGATGGATGGACGGTATAGGGAGGTAGAGAGTGGATGACTGGTATGCAGGGAGATGTTTGGTGGATGGATAGACAGACAGATGTATGCATGGGTAGATGGGTGATATAGGTAGAGGGATGACTGATAAATGGCTGAAGAGACAGAGGAGGGATGGACAGATGATACAGGTAGATAAATAGATGGCTAGTAGGTCAGATGGATGGATGGATAGACGGATGGATGGACGGATGACACAGGTAAACAGGTGGATGACTGACAGGAAAATGATTGCTATTAGGTGGATAGATGACAGACACCCAGATATGTTGACGGACTGACAGAGCGTCAGGTGGCGATAACTGCAATGGAGACACGAATCAGGACAGGGAAGGGTAGGGATCGTGTACAAGGAGGCACGATATTTCACAATTTTAACTGAGTGGCGAGAGAATGCCTCACACAAACAGGAGAGATCAACCGAGCTTCTCACGTCAGCCAGGGTGGACAGGGGTCTCTCCAGAGGACGGTGCCTGCAGGGCTTCTCTGAGCGGCTAAAAGGCCAGTCTCCTCAAGCCACCCTCCTCTGCCCAACCTCTTCTGCCTCTCCCCACCTCCCCCCACCACCACCACCACCACCACCCTCCATCTCGCACTTCTCTCCCCACACCTTCCTGCCTTCCAAGAGGCAAGGAGGCCTCAGAGACTCTCTTATCCGAGAGATGACCATGCCCTGCTATGTGAGCCTCCCTCATGTGTTTATTTAAAAATTAAAACCTGAGTCGACCACAACTAGTCACCCTCAGCTCCCAACAACTAGCAGGATTAAAATGCCGACATGCATCAAAGGGCCGCGTAAACGCAGGGCGTGTCAACTCCTCATCCTCGGTGGTGTCATGAGGAAAGATGGAATGTAGCATGCAGAGGGCTGTGACTAAACTTCCCTCTGAATTACTAAGAGATCTTTTTGTTGTTGTTGCTGTTGAGTTGGAGTCTCACTCCGTCGCCCAGGCCGGAGTGCAGCGGCCGCTCCCGGCCCCCGCAGCCTCGACCGGCTGGGCTCCGGCAATCCTTCCGTCTCAGCCTTCCCAGTAGCTGGAACTACAGGCACGCACTACCACGCCCGGCTGATTTTTTTTTTTTTTTTTTATTGTGGAGATGAGGTCTCCCTGCCCAGACGGGTCTCGAACCCGCGGGCTCAGGCAATCCACTCACCTCGGTCTCCCAAAGCGCTGGGATTGCAGGCTGAACCACTGAGCCTGGCTACTAAGAAATCTTTAAAACAGGAAGTGAGAGGGCAGAAACTGACCCAAGACACAGTCTTTGTGGTAAGAAGTCAGACTGCAGGACAAGGCTAGGTTTGCATCCTGTTTTGATGAGCGACTCACTGTGTGATCATTAGCAACTGCACAACCTCCTTGAATGCCAATTTTCCCAACTAGAAAATGGAAACGAGAACACAGCTAAGTCCACAAGCTCTGAAGACACATGTGCTGCCACGTGTGTCTGTGTCTGTACAGCCAAGGGGGTCACGGGCAGAGCCTCGTCGTAGGTAGACAGCACACATGCGCACGCCTCCCTCCTGATGACTTGAAAGGGGCCCGGGCATCCACAAGAGGGAGATAAGCTCGTGGGACATGTTGGGGCTTCAACAGTTCTGAAATAACAGAGGGTGAGTCTGGGGGCAAATCCTTCCTTCGTTCCAGCCCACACGTTTTCCTGGGCATCGAGGCCTCCTTCGAGCCAGAGGCAGAGGATGCCGGGAGGCGGCACCAGCTTCTCCCGCAGATCTGCCCTTCCTGTCTGGCAGGTTATGCCTCCTGATGCCGCAGAGTCTCCCTTCTAGAGAGCCAGCAGGCCAGCAGATGGCCGTTTAGGAGGATGTGGTGGTGATGATCACGTAAGCCTCTACCAAGGGAAGGCGTCACTAGACAACTCGGAGACGCGCGGGATCTGCCTGCTGGGGTGAGTTCCAGGATCCCCTCAGCCTCGGTTTCCTCTTCTGACCCACTGCTTCACCTGCTCGTCACAAAAACTAAATGAGAGAGCATCTGCGAAAGCACTTTGGTCAACAAAGCGGCATACAAACACTGCAGTTCGAGTCACCATCACCAGCAAGATGCCCTAAACTGGTATCTCGGTAACAACAAAACTTACAGGCAATTTTCCTTTAGAAATTGCAGTTAGGAAAGCAGGAAAATATACTTTTAATCTATGGATCGGGAAAACATTTTCAAGAAAGTCACTAAAATATTCATCACAGTATAAGTTTTTTGTTGCTAAATTAATGAAAAAAATTTAAGCTGGTCAAGCCCAGGCGACAATTGCAACTCAACCCAGTTTCCAAGACAGCGTCCTTGAAGACAGCACCATGACATGAAGAGAAAATAAAGCACATGAAAGTCTGAGGACTGTGGGGGTTTCTTTTGGTTTGAGTTGGGGTCTTGCTCCGTCGACCAGGCTGGAGTGCAGTGGCACGATCATCGCTCACTGCAGTGCTGCCTTCCTGAGCTCAAGCAATCCTTCCTCTTCAGCCTCCCAAGTAGCTGGGACTACAAACATATGCCCTCACGCCTGGCTAATTTTTTTAATTTTCCGTAGAGACGAGGTTGCACTGTGTTCCCTAGGCTGGTCTTAAGCTCCTGGGCTCAAGCGATCCCCTCGCCTCTGCCTACCAAAGTGCTGGGATTACAGATGTGAGCTACCGCACCCAGCTGCCGCACCCCCTTTTTCTTTTATCTCTACTCAAAAAACAGAAATCACTGAGGATAAAAAAGAAAAGAAACTAGGCTAGCAATGAAGACTATAAAAAAACAACCAGCTGTATAACAGTAACACCTGAAAAAATGAGCAGTATTTCGTTCATGAGAGAGGACTCTCTTTTCATGATTATAATATTCTAGATAGCAAACGATGCTGTCTCAAACACCTGGAAAGAGTTACTATTCACTGGACACAAGTGTCCCCCCAGAGGTGTCTGAACGAGGAGTGCCCTTGCCAGGGGAAGCCTGAGCTGGCTGCACCCTGTCTCCCCTCATGGGAACGCACACCCACGTCCCAGGTGCCAGGAGCACCCTCGGTCTCACCCGCCCTGCTTACCCGACCGGTAGCGCTCATCTCGGGACCCTGAAGACCGCCGGCGGTGGTAGCGTGAGGAGGAGGAGGGCGTCACGGGAGCCCGGCGCTCTGGCGGCAGCGCTTGGTCCACCCCTGGATGGAGGGAAAACAGCAGAGTGAGGTGAGTGAGGCAGCTCGGCGGCGGGGCTAGCCGGCCCGTGGCCAGGTGCTTGGCAGCCCCAGCCCTGACTTCTCGCGCTCACAGCAGCCCAGAGCTTCCCGAGGACCAGGATGGCCTGGGGCCCCTCGGTCACCAGCAGGTCCTGGGCAGGGTCCACGGAAGCCCTCCCAGACACAGCCTGGGTGCTACAGTCTTTAGGCAACATCCTTCCTGCCCAGGCACCATGACCCTCAGAGGTGGCCCATGTGTCCCTCACGTCACCAGTGTCCACTGCCCCAGCTAACAAGGGCATCCTCTCCAGTTAGGATGAGAACCAGGGAGCCCAATACAGACACAGACTCAAGCTATGACTGTTTGGTGCACTTTGTCTATGGGAAAGACACAGAAAGGGTCAAGCCAATTCTTGAGAAAATTCAAAATCAAATTTATCATTAAGCTAAAGCTAATTTTAAAACAAGTCATAAAGGTATTTTAATAATGCAATTCAGGTAACTGGGATGTAGCATACACTTCCAGCTTTGTTCATTCTAGATTACTAACTCTCTGGACGCGTACTCCACTTGACGCCAAGTATTTTTAAAAACTGTAGTTGAATATGGCTTTGATGAATTACAAAAAGCGTTAACATGGTCAGATAAAAACGAGCCAATGGGTATGGGGCAAAAAGCTGACCCGAGTCTGCCAGTCACGGTATTGATTATACTCAGATAAAGGGTGATGAGAAGCACAATCTAGATAAAACTCAGTACTGCAGGAAAGATTTAATCATTATGGTTAAGAAACAGAGAAATTCTTTTACCCTGAACACTAATCACTAATTGCTGCTTCTCTGGGAAACAACTAGCAATGCTTGGCTGGAAGCAAACCGACAGAAAAATCTTATCTAAACAAAAGAGTGTTCCGTGATGGGCTGCTCCTATATGGCTTGCTGCCTATTCTGTGGACTTAGCATTCCTCTTCTTCTGGAGGTTCCTGCCCTGCAGCTTCTGAAGGCATGAGTGTGGGACCCCCATACCAGGGCCGCACAAACAAAAGCTTGCACATTGCCGACTGCTGGTTCTGTGAGCCCTTCACTTAGCAAGCAGATCAGCCCGATGACCGAAAGCTCCTGGTGGCTAAGCGGTGTGCAGCTACCAACCGCTGCCAGCTACTGTCCACAAATGATCTTTTATAAATTATCTCTTTAAAAAGGACCCCTTGCCTTTATCAGATAGATACAATTTACAAAATCAAAGAGTACTATCGTTAAGTCTTACATGAAAAACAGAAGAACCCTGGTACTTGTGTTCATGCTTATAAATATGGGTTCACCACACTACCTCCTGCCTGGTCCGTGTGGACGCCTCCCTTACACGGATGCAGTCATTGTCATCAGGACCACGTGCAGGCCGTCCTCTGCAGGGCCGGCAGCCTGTTATGAACATCTTTCTACCGCACACTTTTTGGTGATTCTGGAGTCAACATTTGTGTCTTCTTTCTCCTCGTTATTTTGGCTTTCCACGTTCCTTTCAAAGTTCCCCAACAGAACCGAAAACCCTGTCTTTCCCGTACTTCCTCTGGCTATGGTCAAGTGCCAACAAAACCTGGTGCTCATTTTAGCTCAGCCTGCCTTTCCCTTAAGGTCCTCTTGCAGCCTCTGTCCCAGGCCTCCATGCCACCTGAGGTCCCTAGACCTGCTGCAGTCGCCGCGCAGACCCCTTCCTGAGGCTGGCTTTTGCCTGCTACTGCCAGGTCATTTGTTTCACATGCCCTACGGCTCCTTCTTTCCTTACTGTCGCTTTTTTTTTTTTTGAGTTGGAGTCTCATTCTGTTGCCCAGACTGGAGTGCAGTGGCCGATCCCAGCCACCGCAGCCTCGACCTGCTGGGCTCCAGCGATCCTTCCACCTCAGCCTTCCAGGTAGCTGGAACTATAGGTGCACGCTATCACGCCCAGCTAATTTTTTAAATTTATTGTAGAGATGAGGTCTTGCCAAGCTGCCCAGGCGGGTCTTGAACCTGTCGCTTCTTAAAGGAGTCCCTCTAGTCACTTCCTCAGAAAGGACGGCTGAGGAGTGACACCTGGAGACCCTGAACACTCCAAGGTGTTCCTCCTCCCACCCTGAGGTGATCGGGCCGTTTGCCTGGAGACAGAATTCTAGGCGAACATTACTTGTACTCCTTGCTTTCGTCTCCATTATTGTTGTCAGTCTGATGCCACCACCTTTACGTAACATCTGTTCCTTCTTTTCTCCTGTGTTGACTTTGGCAATCTCATCGTCATCCCACTGAGGGAACTGCAAAAGCCAGCTCCTCCTCTCATGGGGTGTGGAAACCTCTTCCCGGGAAGCCTTCTGTCTGGGCTGCGGTGTTTGCCCAGAGCAGAGACCACGAGTCTCCCATCCCGTGGCTGAGGGCAGGCAGGTTCTTCCTCCAGGCGGCCCTCTCCTGGGTGCGCTCTGAGCTAGTGCCTGTTTTTGGCATTGTCCCCCCACCTGGGGCCGCCCTCTCTGGTTTCATCTTTCCAGAGAACACAGGCTGGGAGGAGCGGAGAAGAGTGGCCGCCTGCTCCGGGACGCCCTTTCTTCCTCCAGCTCTGAGAGGGCGGGCCCCAGTTTGCATCCGCGTCTGCACCTACCAGCTTCCTCTGCTTTGCCAAAGGAGGCAGCAGGGGTTCCGCCAGGTCACTCATGAACACCCGCCTCTGCTCCTCCCAGCGTCTGCTGACATCCCTGAGTGGCTGGGAGGAAGCAGAGATAAGCAAACGCCTCCAAGGTCCCAGCCATGGCCAGGGCCCAACTTTCTGCCGACGTCGAGCTTTCAGCCAGCACTGCTGCCCGTCTAGCTGTTCAGACAGGCTTCCCAGAATCAGTCTCAACCCGAACTTCTCCTGGGCGCCCACAAAGGATGGCGTGCAGAGGAGCAGGCTGCTTGGTTCTTCGGGGGCCCTGCACGTCTGTCCCCAGGGAGCCCGGGAGCCGCTGTGCACGTCAGAGGACCCCGTCCCCAGGGAGCCCGCTGTGCACGTCGGAGGACCCCGTCCCCAGGGAGCCCGCTGTGCGCGTCGGAGGACCCCGTCCCCAGGGAGCCCGCTGTGCGCGTCGGAGGACCCCGTCCCCAGGGAGCCCGCTGTGCGCGTCGGAGGACCCCGTCCCCAGGGAGCCCGCTGTGCACGCCTGCCGGTGAACACTGACGCTTGCAGGCTGCAGCGCAGGCTGCACAACAGAGTTCCTGCGACAAGTGGGAAAGACTGGCGAAAGGCAGCCGCTTCAGCAGGCCCCTGGCAGCAACACAGCTGGAGAAACGCGCATCCCGGCCTGCGAACTTCGCTCTTCAGATCCCCTCGGACCTCGTTCCACGTGAGACTTGAGGTGGCTCAAGGGCGTGCCCTGGCAAGCCGTCAGCCGGATGCATGTTTTTCCATTTGGTTCACCTGTCACCACACAGGACCCGGGGGACTGAGGGGGCTCTCGCTGACCCCGCCACGGGGGAGCAAACCAAATGCCACTGCTGTCGCAGATGCCTCTTGGTAACGCAGGCGTCAATGACTGGGAAGACACACAAGGCCAGCCACGGGTAAGGTGTGTCTGCCCCCGGGGCCCCAGCTCAGCTCTGTATTCAGCCTTGCTGAGGGCTCACGCTCACAACTGCTGCGTGTGGCTTGGGGAACCTGGCTGAAAACTCTTCCTCAGGAGAGCCACAGAAAGACCAGAGGCCTCACAACCAAAGGCATGGTCAAGGCTGAGGACCCAGCCCGAGGACTTTGTGTGTTTGGGGAGTGGTCGTGGGGCGTCAAAGCACCCTGTGCCCTCAGGACAGCGTACGGGAGTCCAGGAAGGGAACCCCGGTCAGAAACAAAAAGGCAATCCCAAGCGAACACTTAGTGCACAGGAGGGACACAGACCCCCACACTCCGATTCCCTCATGCCTGCATTCCCTCATCAAGAAAGGGGCAGAATAACAGGACCTGTCTGGCGGTTTTCATGCCAATGAGTTCATCAGTAGGTCAAAGTGCTCTGAGCAGTACCATAAAGTATTGGCTGCTGTCATTACTTCTGTCTAAAAATGGGAAACCGAGCCAGGAATGGTTAAGGGACTCGCCCAAGGTCACAGAGGGGCAGGCGCAGGCAGGACCTGGGCCCAGACTGCAGGCACAAGATCCCTCGGTTCACGCGGGGCCGGAGCCACGTCGGTGCCTCGCATGGGGCTGACGTGTGTTCATGGGAGGAGGGCCTCGCCCTGACCCACACCACGTTTTTGCCCGAGGAGAACCAGCCTTCTGTCCTCCTGCCTCTCGGGCACCCGGGGACAGCTGCAGCTCCCCTCTCGCCTCTGGGTCCGAGTCGGATGGAAACACCCGCTCTTCCCAAGTCTGTGCCCTGCCTCCCAGGACCCTCACTTCTTCAGAGGCTCCAGCCACATCAGAACCTGTCTAAGCCCAAAGGGGGACCGAACAGAGACAGCCACTGTCATCAGAACATCCGTGACTTCCAGCACATAACTAAGAAGGGACTCCCCAAAGAAAATGCCAAACAACGGAGTTCTGTCAATGGCACAATCCATCAGTCCCAGGCCAATGAACAAACACAGGAGGGGATGTCACCAACACTCAGGCAAAACAGACCAGACAACACAACTGTCCCCACAGCTACCCCAAGCACGGGGCAGGTGAGGGCCGCCACCACCCATCACAGCCGTGCGCCACGGTCAGGGGCTGGGCAATGGAGACGACATCAGAATGTGAGCCAGATGTACTAGGGAGAAAAATCCGGATTTCTGAATTCAGATAGTAAGAGAAACACATTGAAAATCCGGGTTTTCAACCTATTTTTAGAAGAAATCCCAAGAAATATGTGAGAGAAACTTAGACTTAAAGGGGGGGCAGATCTAAGATGAGAAGGCCTTGACCTGATTCTGGGACTGCGTCTACGCCATCACTGTGTCTCCGTGCCTCGGTTCCACGCACGCTGGGGGCACAGACACAGCCTCCTCTGG